GGCTCATCAACTTCTGGAATACTGTGTTCTATGCATACCTACTTTTGTAGTTTTGGTTAAAGCCGAGACTCGCTTTGGAGCGGTAACATACGGGAGTAACCATATCCACTATTTTGTGGCATACATTTTTGCTTACTCTAAAAAATTTCACGAATTTCTGGTCAATGGAAAAGGCAGAACATCCCATCCTATTTCCTTTGCTTCTGAAGCATTTTTCATGTCTTCTTGGATTATGTTAGGTATGTTATTCAAGATAATCTCAATAAAATAATCCACATTCATTTTAATGAAAATACACAACGCATACAAAAACGAAAAAACCTTGAATTTGAAAGGAGAAAACGAAAACGTCAAGCTTGAGAACAACGTCAAGTCTTGAGGTTAGAAACCCTGACGGGAATTCGTTTTCTCTTGGGTAAGAGGATGAGAACTTCAGAATTCCCGGGAACTTTCACTTCACAGTCCCATTTTCAAGAATATGACATGTATCTTTTTGAGGTAAACCACGTCCACTTCCCGAGCAAGTTCTCCTCCCAGAAATCAAGAATACGGCCCCTCTGGTGAGGGACAATGCCGCGCGGCGTCCGTCGGAAACCCACCTTTAGGTTGTCATTTTTGGAATTGAGACCAGCTTTTCCATTTAAAAGTGTTTAAAACGCATTGATGTCAGAAATCTGTCAAAGTGTATATTTTTTGACAAACGCAATTTAAATGGGAAATATCAATAACAATCACCATCACAGAACACATCATCATAATTAAAATCACAGAACTAAAATATTCGACACAACTTATAGTAAATAAACTTCAAACTCGGGAAATTTCCTATCAAAATATAACACGTGCATAAAATATTTCCTAAGGGAAATTTTTAAAAATTTGGTCTTTGGTCAATTTTTTTAAACAAAACCATTCGTGCATAGCGCCAAAGAAAAAATCCCTCACCCTTCGGGTTCGGGATTTTTTCAGGCGCTATGCACTCATGATTTTGTTAAAAAATTGGCTTCAGACAAAATTTTCAAAAATTTCCAGTAGAAATATAACTAGTGCATAAAATATTTCCGGAAATTTTTGAAAATTTGGTCTGAAGCCAATTTTTTAACAAAATCATAAGTGGATAGCGCCTGAAAAAATCCCGAACCCGAAGGGTGAGGGATTTTTTCTTCGGCGCTATGCACGAATGGTTTTGTTTAATAAAATTGGCTAAAGACGAAATTTTAAAAAATTTCCCTTAGGAAATATTTTATGCACGTGTTATATTTTGATAGGAAATTTCCCGAGTTTGAAGTTTATTTACTATAAGTTGTTTCGAATATTTTAAATATGATGATATGTTCTGTGATGGTGATTTTTATTGATCTTCCCTATTTAAATTGCGTTTGTCAAAAAATATACACACATATACACTTTGACAGATTTCTGACATCAATGCGTTTTGAATGCAAAAGCTAGTCTCAATGCCAAAAATGACAACCTAAAGGTGGGTTTCCGACGGACGCCGCGCGGCATTGTCGCATTGGAAATTGCACCCGGAAATATCCCGCTCACCAGAGGGGCCGTATTCTTGATTTCTGGGAGGAGAACTTGCTCGGGAAGTGGACGTGGTTTACCTCAAAAAGGTACATGTCATATTCTTGAAAATGGGACTGTGAAGTGAAAGTTCCCGGGAATTCTGAAGTTCCCATCCTCTTACCCAAGAGAAAACGAATTCCCGTCAGGGTTTCTAACCTCAAGACTTGACGTTGTTTTCAAGCTTGACGTTTTCGTTTTCTCCTTTCAAATTCAAGGTTTTTTCGTTTTTGTATGCGTTGTGTCTTTTCATTAAAATGAATGTGGATGTGGATTATTTTATTGAGATTATCTTGTATAACATACCTAACATAATCCAAGAAGACATGAAAAATGCTTCAGAAGCAAAGGAAATAGGATGGGATGTTCTGCCTTTTCCATTGGCCAGAAATTCGTGAAATTTTTTAGAGTAAGCAAAAATGTATGCCACGAAATAGTGGATATGGTGGATATGGTTACTCCCGTATGTTACCGCTCCAAAGCGGCTTTAACCAAAACTACAAAAGTAGGTATGCATAGAACACATTATTCCAGAAGTTGATGAGCCACATGAAGTTCAGGAGCAGGAATACGGAATTTATTAATTTATGCTGCAGAAAATTATGCGCAATTTTCCCTCATGTATAAAAAATCTCATGAGGAATGCAGTTTTCGAACACTTACAGCGATGATGTTCATAGGCTAGTTAAAAATAAATATATTATCAAACCCAAATGCCTTTCAGCTTTCAAAGTTTTGAAAAATAGACAATAATAAATATCAAACGTGGGGTTAGATATTGGGTTAGATAACTTCCTCTTCCTTTTTTCGCTTGAAACACGTTTTGGTTAGTTTGATTGACACTCTGATAGGCGGCAACATTGCGAGCGCTTGTGGGTATTCAAGAATACGACCTCTTAGCTCCCGGGAGCGAAAGTGAACTAGCTTTCCTGGGAACGTTCCCAGGAACACTCCCTTCCCGGGCAGTCAAGAATACGGGGCCAGGGATATTTCCACTTTTCAATTTTTGAAAATTACGAGGTAAATTTCCAGTTAAATATGCACAAGGGAAATTTCCGGAAATATTTTATGCACTAGTTATATTACTACTGGTAAAATTTTGAGGAATTTTAGTAAAGTTAAAAAAAAATATGGAATTTTGAAATTGAAATCTTCTAAAATTCCGAGTAATTTCATGAAATCCTATACTGTAATTAGACTCCTCACTTGAAATAGTCACGAGCCGCCACTGAATCAGAAAAAAAAGCTATCATTCTAGCCAAAAATATTCAAGGTGTTCCATTTGAAAAATGCAAGTGTTTGTCATTGTGACAGTTGGCACCTGCCATTCGCCCGTTTTGACATTCGCAAAAGATACTGTGATAAAAGACATAAAAACCTACAAGTCGGTTTCTCAATAACGAGTCACCAGTCACCTCCGGGTTGGTTTTAACTCCAGGGTAAGCGTGTCTAGTTGCTATGTTTACCCTGGAGTTATCCTTAACCCGGGGGTGACTTGCTATAGAGAAAACGGCCCTATAATTTTCATACCTAAAGTTTTTTTCCACCTCGTAAAGCTAGAGCTGTAGTTAGGGGTCAAAATATGAGGAAACACTCTGTACAATACAGCGAAATACTGTACGTATGTCTTGGTTGGAGGTTGGAGGGTCGGCTACCAGTTGAGAAAAGTGCTAAATAATTTAATTAACCAACAATCCGTGATAAGAACGGTGCCACAATTACCGATTTATCGGAATACCGAGAATCTACCGAAAAAATAAAAACCATATGATTTGAGATTTCTAGGTTAATTTGCAGTAGAAATAATAATTTTCAGTGAATTCTATGAGATTTAGAAGTTTCGTATAGGATTATTTGTTCTCTCACTTCTCTCCGTTTTATTTTGGGAAATCAAAAAGTGCCAATTTTTAGGGTTCGGTAACCTATTTTTTGCGAGGCTCCTTAGGGCGCGAGGCCGTCGGCAGCCGCCGACGTTGCCGACGCCTAGCTACGCCACTGAAGGGCAGATAGTATTTATGAAAATAATTTAAAAAAGTTCCTATGGATATAGGTCCGAAAACGCTTTGTTTCCAAGTTACAGGGTGATATGTTTTTCAAAAAAAAATAGTTTTTTATTAATAGTCCAAATGAGCTTTTGCCGATTTCAATGAAATTTTCACAGTTTATTTCAACCATTATCAGACATCTACTGAACCAATCAGATTTGATCCAGAATTTCCAGGGGCGTACCCAGCGACCAAGTCGGTTCTTTTTGTGCAGAAAAAAATAGCACTCTGTAGTTTTTGTACGATTTTTATTGATTATTCAGATAGATACACTAAAAATACAATATTTTGGTCTTCTAAATTTTTCATTTATCTCGCTTCGTTTACGCGGAAAAATCACAATACCATACCTCGGCATGTCTCTGAACTCCCTAAGAAAAAATGAAAATGCTTAGGAATTGATTAAAAATTTATCGGAGTTTGTTGATTTATGAAAAAAAAATAAAAAAAAAAAAAAACCTCAAATGGAATTTATGTCCTTGTCACTCAATAAATGGGTGAGATACCTTAATTCCTATGAATTTTTGTCTTTCCTTATGGAATCCAGAGACGTGCCGAGGTATGGTATTGTAATTTTTCCGTGAAAACGAAGGGAGATAATTGAAAAATTTAGGAGACAAAAATGTTATATTTTTAGTGTGTCTATCTGAATAATCAATAAAAATCGTACAAAAACTACGGAGTGATATTTTTTCCTGCACAAAAGCAACCGACTTGGTCGCTGGGTACGCCCCTAAAAATTCTGGATCAAATCTAATTGGTGCAGTAGATGTCTGATAATGATTGAAATAAAACCGTGAAAATTTCATTGTAATCGGCAAAAGCTCTTTTGGGCTATTATTAAAAAACAATTTTTTGAATAACGTATCACCCTGTATCTTGGAAACAAAGCGTTTCCGGACCTATATCCATAGGAACTTTTTAAATTGTTTTCATGAATAATATCTGCCCTTGAAGTTTGTAACACCATTTCTGAAACACCCTTTATAGAAGAAAATTAGGGACATTAATTTTCCAAATGGTTTTTTTGGATGTAGTTTTCAACATTCAAAATAATAGACGAAAAATGATTTTCTAGACATAGTGCAAAAATTCTATAATTAGGGAAACAAATATTCAAATTTAAGTTTGTACCCCTTTGGCAATAATTGTTCTTCAACAGGTTGGCTCACACAGAAGTATAATAGGTAACTATTCTGAACCTCATTGAAAAGTTGAACACCATAACTATAAAAATCACACACACATTTAAAGTTTTGTACTATGCTGCGCCATCTAGACTTCATTAGACGAAATCACTCTTTCTATCAGGCAACTAATTCCTGCATCTTTTCTATACTAAATCATTTAAACATTTCATTATCAATAAATAATGGTAGATGGAATCGTATAGAGGATTTCAAAAAAAAAAAATCAAAGCAGTTTTTAATAGATTACTTTATTCTAAGCTTTGGTACAAATATACTAGAGGCGTACAATAAATAGTACAATGTTATCAGAACTAGATATAAGGCATGGACTCTATCTATCTACCCTAAACCTACTTAAATCCAAATAAAATAAAATAAATAAGACGGCAATATTTGAACACAGCCAGTAAAAACTAAAATGCGTAATGTAAATAATAAAATAATATTGCATTGATATTGATTGTAAGAATCATGGCATTAAAATTATCTCACAGAATGAAGTTTGTATTTCAAAACGACAAACGATAAAGTCCTAAAGACAAACCAGAATAAGACTAGAGCAATCACGTCATTACTGAACTGGTCAGTTTTCACTGCCACATCTGCCAACAGTTTGGCTGGGTACCTAAAAATTATATGATTAATAAAAATCAATATGTATGGGAAGACATTTACTTACTTATAATAGCAAATAATTTCATTTTCAGGACACTTTAACACCTCCCTGTCCAAACCGTAAATAGCACCGACAATGCCTTCCAAAGCAAACCTCAGGTAAGATATGTAGCTACCCCAGCGCAGGTAAACTGGTAAGTCTTTGATGCTGACGCCGAAACCGGCAAACATCATCATAGGAACTGTTAGAGTTGGACCCAGAAATGTTCCGTCCTAATTTATAATAAACAAAATATAATGTGTAAACTAAGTTATTATTTACTTACCACAACGTTAAAGTAAGCTCCGATCATTAGCCCAAAACTTTGCGCTACAAAAACCACTAATAGGCTGCTTACAAAGAACATGGTGAATCTGTTGATTTCAAACGGCTGAGCTGTCATGTAGTAGATTATTGATGTGAACAGGGAACAACATAAGACCTAAAATGAATGGTTTTTGAAAAATGTTCATATTTTCCTTAGACATTCCCTTATATCGACTCTATAAATACTGCCTGACTTTGAAAAATGTTTATAAGGAATTGTAGAATGATGAGTGGCTGATTAGAAAATGAACAAGAAATTTCTAATATTGGTTAACAGGCTGAAAGCACCGATACAAACTTAAGGGGTGAGTATTTTTTTGAATATTTGGGTAACAAGATGCCAGAAAACTGTTCAACAAGGCAAAAAGTAACGGTAACTGAGCAGATTACAGAACAGCCCTGCTCAACGTCTCCAAAAAGTCGTTTCAAAAAACCACTCAAACGGAATTGGTCTGCTGGAAAAGCCCAACAGAGAACACTGTACCGACCATATAGAAAGTCTAGAGGTACTGTTACTGTAGTATATGTTTGAGTTTATTGTAAACTCTATTTCAGGCTCTTAGAATAGTGTAAACTTGCGTTTATTATATTAGTTTGAGATCATTAGAATAGATGTCGCTACCAAGTGAGTGACGTAATGACAGATGAAAGGAAGGTAAAAAGGACCTTCTAGAAAATACTTCGACTTGTAACCTAACTTGTAACGGTAGATCGAATAATGGATTTTACTTGATAAGTAAAGTATTCTAGCTGTTTCTTTGATTAAAAGTCCAAACACGACATGCTGTCAGGTTATCTTTGGTGTCAGGTGTTGTTAGCTTGGTAATTGGGCAAACCTGTTTAAACTAAAGTTAAAAGTGAATATTTCACTCATGTTTAAATTTTCCCATAAGAGAAGTGACAAATCGAAAAATTACAGCGGTTATACAACACACTATACATTATTCACATATGACACGAGAGGCTTAAAAAGTGATAAGCCTTTTGGGATTATCGCGCTTGGTGGCAATATTGTTATTAATAATGATAAAAATTAATAAAGCATTGAAGTTCAGTTCGTTGTATAACCTTTTGAATACCACTCGATGTTTCAGGATTACCTAATACTTTCACATGACACTCAACGCGTTATCAGCAACACCACTCCTCCTTCGGAGTCGTGGTGTTGCTGCGTAACTCGATTCGTGACAGGTAAAAGTATTATCCGGTAATCCTGAAACCTCTTGTGGTATTACATTCGATTATACAACTCACTGTACATTATTCACATATGACACGAGAGGCTTAACAAGTGATAAGCCTTTTGGGATTATCGCGCTTGGTGGCAACTTATTATTAATAATAATAAAAATTAATGAAGTATTGAAGTTTAGTTCGTTGTATAACCTCTTGAATACCACTCGATGTTTCAGGATTACCTAATACTTTTACCTGGCACTCAACGCATTACCAGCAACACCACTCCTCCTTCGGAGTCGTGGTGTTGCTGCGTAACCCGATTCGTGACAGGTAAAAGTATTATCCGATAATCCTGAAACCTCTTGTGGCATTACATTCGATTATTCCACTCATGTGTTAGAAATCCCATAAGACAAGTGACAATTTTCAGAATTACAGCGAAAATTCTCTTTCCCATTTGTTTAACTAGAGAGAATTACAGCGATAATTCTCCCATGTTATTGTATACATGTTTGTCATGCTAATTTTTGATACAAACAAACGGTTCCTGATAGCAACCATTTATTTGTATTGATTGTTAAGATATTCAAATCGTTAAGTACATATTTATTTCCAAATTTTTTGCATTCTCATAAGTGAAATAATCCTCTAAATACCACTTGAGCTTTAAAATGAACCAGATAATTTTTCACTCATGCGTGTTTTCTCTGCAAATTTCACTCGTCCTACGGACTCGTGAAATTATAGAAAACGCGCAATCGTGAAAAATTATCGGTAATTTTGAAGCTCTCGTGGTATTATCCCCGAAAATTGACTTATTTAAGCAATTAAAAAAAATTCACCCTCTTACATTTTAATTTTTTTCTGGAAAACTTGCAAAGAGAAAATTTTGAAAATTTTCCAGGAATAAGAGGAAAATGAGGCGCTCACTTTACGAAAATTCAAAATCTTCCAGTAAAAAATCACTCCAGGAAAAATTCTGACAAAATGACTTTTTCAAGTAAAATTAAGAAAAATTCATCCTCTCATATTTTAATTTATTTCTGGAAAACTGATAAAGCAAAACTTGTGAAATTTTTCAGGAGTTCATTATAGGAAAATTTCAAAATTTTTTAGTAAAAAATCACTCCAAGGAAAGTCGATAGGAAAGTTCTGGAAAATTGACTTTTTCAAGCAAAATTCATCCTTTCACATTTCAATTTTTTTCTGGAAAACTGGCAAAGCAAAAATTGTGGAATTTTTCCAGAACAAAGAAAAAAGTGAGGAACTCAATATAAGAAAATTTCAAAATTTTCTAGTGAAAAATGACTCGAGAAAAAATTCTGGAAAATTGAGTTATTTAAGCAAAATTAAGGATAATTCACCCTTTCACATTTAATTTTTTTTTTTTGGAAAACTGGCAAAGGGAAGATTTTGAATATTTTCCAGGAAAAAGAGAAAACTGAGGAGCTAATTATAGGGAAATTTCGAAATTTTCCAGTGATAAATCACTCCAGGAAAAATTCAAAGAAAATTGACTTATTTAGGCAAAATTAGGGAAAATTCACCTCTTGCATTTTAATTTTTTTCTAGAAAACTGGCAACGGGAAAATTTTGAAACTTTTACAGGAGAAAGAGGAAAGTGAGGAGCTCATTAGAGGAAAATTTCAAAATTTTCCATTGAAAAATCACTCCAAGAGAAATTTATTAATATATTTTCGGATAACTGAATAAACTCTATTCTAAGTTAAAAAATGTATTACAAAACAATAATTCCGAAGGTGCTCCATGAATTAATCTATGACCTGACTTTTTCTCTATGTTATGACGTCATCGATGACGTAAGTAAAAACCGTTATGCCATGCAACGAACTATATCTTTGTTTGAAATTTCAGACAAAAAAAACTAACTTTTTTTCACGCGCTCATTTCCTTTCCATCAAACCCCATCAAAATCAGCACCCCTCAAATTTGAAGCCTAGTTGCGCTTATGAGCGTGTAGTATATAACCGAATTTTCGCTCTACTTCCATGATTTCATGAACACAAACGCTTCCGCGAGAAACTCATGACGTCATATTGAACGTAGTTCGACGGAAGCATGGATGCAGCTTCAAACTCATGACGTCACAGACGAACTATGGTTCGTCCTTGGATGAACTACATTCGTCGCGAAAATTCGGTTTAGGTTTGAGTGTATTGTGAACTCTACTTCAGGCTCTTAGAAAAGTGTAAACTTGCGTTTATTATAATAGTTTGAGATCATTGGGTGTTTTTTCTCCACTACTATGGACACTAATAGTGGCCAAAACCTAAACTGAGTAGTGCTGGATCCTAGGTCATAGGCTATACAGATGACCTGGTCTTTATAATCAAGGACAAAGTGCTCTAAACATCGTTAAAAATTGGAGCGAAGGCGAGGGATTATCCCTAAGCCCAAGCAAAACAATTCTTGTCCCGTTTACAAGAAGAAAGAAGCTAAATTTGAAAGCCCCCATGCACCCTTAACGGCACAACACTAACATTTTCCAACGAAGTGAAATACGCGGGGGTCACCCTGGAGCAAACACTCACTTGAAATCAACAGTTAGAGAAAACATGCTCTAGAGCTATATCAGCAATCTGGTCATGCCGCAAACTGGTTGGTAAAACATGGGAGCTGAAGCCAAAGATGGGTACCTATTCTGGATGGTTAAAGTCTAGTATATGTATATTAGACGGTTGTGCCCGTACCCATGGTAAAAAAAGTACTACGATCTAGAGCAAAAATGAAGAAGTAGGTACCAGATTACCCCTGGTTTCTAGTCAGTGAATAAATAAGTACTTCATTGGCTTCTTCTCATAGTGGTCAGGAGTAGTTCCAATCTCCAATCAAGCAGAAGCTGCTGAACTTTACACCAATCAAGAGAGGAGTTTTGAGTGTGAAACAACTGCTGACATGTTTGATTCAAGAAGTTCACTCAAGAATAAATAATTCAATTTTATATAGTCGATATTCTACTAAGGAAATGTCTAGGAAAAAACCAAAACCTAAAACACCAAACTTACGGATATAGGTATGTCTATAAGGGTCACAGATGCATAATACATTTTCAAGGAATACCATCTATTGAAGTGTTCCTTAATCAATATGCTCATTTCCGTTGGAACTAAAAAACAAAATCAATAAAATACTAGAAATATTTTGCATTAAATACATACATGTCAAAATGGTTAACATCATCGTAGAAAATGTGTGGTGCATCAAAATGGAAAAAAGTAAATTGTAATTATTAAGAACTTTAGACCCATCAGTTCCAGCATTGTAGTACAAAATTCCCAGCATCAGGGATGTAAGAACGTTGACAATTATCCTCATATAAGTCAAAGTCTGGTCCCTTTTAGCTTTAATGTAGCATCGTCTTAGTAGCACTTTCAATTGATTAAGTTTTGATGTGGCTTGCAAGTTTCCGCTGTCGTCTTCAAAGATTGCACTGTCGGTAAATCCAGTTTTTAGGATTTTTTCTGAATCTTGGAAATACTTTAGGCTGTCGCCGTTCTGAGACGTTTCGACCATTTTGTCGATTTTATCTGTGCCGTATTCTCCACATGCCAATTCGATTACTAGAAGAAGAAAAAATTGCAATGTTATCTGAATTTTGCCTGGATATAATTATTATTATTGACCTTTCCTCAACTGATCAAAGCGTGATGGTAAGTAACCGCGTATTTGTTACAGATAAAAGTTTGCTGACAGAGGATATTTTTGCTATTTCTATATTTCGTAAGACATTTTTACCATAATCTGCAGGATTGTGAAACTTGGGACAAGGAAACTGAACGTCTTCGAAAAACGGTATCATGTTTTCTGTGCCGCCTTGGTAGAGACACTTGCCGCCTGCCAGCACGTACACTTGGTCGAACATTTGGAATAGCGTTGCGGATGGTTGATGGATGGTGCAGACGATGGTTCTGCCTTGTCTGGCCAGGACTTTCAATAGTTCTAGGCATTGTTTGCAGGAGGAACTGTCCAAACCACTGAAAAAAAAAAGTTATATTAATATCGGAATTCCACTAAGATTTCAATTTCAAAATTCCATATTTTCTTTTTAACTTTACTAAAATTCCTCAAAATTTTACCACTAAAATATCCTGGAATTCCACAAAATTTTCATAATTTTTTTTGGAATTTCATGTAATTTCTTAAAAATTTCTCGGAATTCACTAAAATTTTATGAGAATATCCACGTTCATAACCGAAAATTTCTCGAAAGTCCAATGAAACTTCAAGGAATTTTCAAAATTTAATTTATTTTCATAAGAATTTTTCGGAATTTCACTGAAATTCTCTTTTAATACCCAGGAATTTCTGGGAATATTAATGAAGTTTCAAGTAATTTCTTAAAAATTCATGGAAATATATTGAAATTTCATGTTATTACATGGTAATTTTTCAGAATATCACCGAAATTCCATGTTTTTAGCTGGAAATTCCTCGGCATTACTGAAATTCAGTGAAAACTGAAATTTCATGTTGGGAATTTCGGTGTAATTTCATGTAATTGCTTAAAATTCCTCCATGTAATTCATTTAGGATTTTGTGTAATTCGATCACTGAAATTTCAAGTAATTCGAGAGGAATTAAAATTTAATGTGAATTCTATGGAAACTCCGCAAAAATTTCACATCTAATTCCTTTTTCAGAATAACATAATTATTCTACCGAAATTCCACTGAATTATGGAATTCTGAGATTTTAATAGATTTTTGGGGATTAAAATAGCTATTTATACAATAAGTTACGAAATGAGCGTCTTTTAGGCACGCGACGTGAAAATTGTCCAACGAGGCAAAGCCGAGTTGGACAACACGTCGAGTGACTAAAAGACATCGTTTCGTAACGTATTGTATACAAGATTTTTTCTACTGGCATTTTATAATAAAAAAACACAATTTTATTTCATGTGAATAAGTCGATTACACCCAAAATCTTTGTTACCTGCTTTTACTTGACACCTGACACTTTTCATGCGATTTTCTTTTCAAAATTCGACATCAATAATTAAAATCCTAGAAAGTAGGTAATAACACAAACTTCTGTTTTGAGTAACCCAAACGTTCAATTCAGTAATTCCATTTTCAATATTCATAATAAATACAAAACAAAATTCAAATATGTGTTTAGTGTGTTTTTTATTTCTGAATAATGAATGACACTTTTAGGCACTAGTGCTTAAAAATTACTTTTAAGCACTCATAAGTCACTTTTACGCATTCAAAAGTCACTTTTACGCACTGAGTGCCTAAAAGTAACTTTCACGCACTCAGTGCCTAAAAGAATGTCGTTTCAAAACTGAAATGACAATCGAAAAGTTGCTATTATGAAACGTCAGTAGAAAAAGGATATTTGGAAATTTTAAAGGAATTATTTTTCAGAAATGTCAATGATTGGGTTTAAAATAACCTATAAATCGAGATTTGATAAAAACATATGGCAACGCTGCTCATGATACAACAAACGTCAAAAAATTGAAATTTCAAACGTTGGGTTTTTTTGACAATCGATACAAAATGACGTCTTTTTGTTTCATATATTACGGCCCGAAGGGCCGGAGTATGAAAAATCAGTTAACAATGAACGGGTACGTTCGGATAAAATTTTTGTCGCACGACACTTTGGCAATATCGACAAATGTCACCTGTCAAATTTGACACATGTTCGACTTTTTTCCCGCCCTACTATAAAAGCTACGAAAATCAAACCCCGGTACAAGGCAGTTTCGCGAAGCCAACTATCGATTTGTGTCAAAAAAAAAATTGACACCTGTCAATGTCAAAAAAGTTTTTTTTTTTATTTTGCGAATTTCGAGAAAAAGAGTGATAGAAAACGATCCCCGGACCTCAAAAACCTTAAATAAAAATTCCAAAAAAAAAAACGAACGAAAATGACATTCCAAAACCTACTTGATAAAACTAAAGTTTTTCTCACTTACCCCGTTAAAACACTGGAAATTTTTGGTGGAAAATGAAGAAAACTCAAAGCCTCGTACTTTAAATCGGTTTTTCCGACCAGAAAAGCCCTGGAAAAGCGGACAAATTCAAAGAAAAACCTCTAAAAATGACATTCCAAAGCCTACTTAATGAAATTTGAGTTTTTGTCACTTACCCCATTGGAAAACTGGGAATTTTTAGCACAAAATGTAGGAAATTCAAAGCCTCTTATTTCAAATCGGGTTTCTTGACTGAAAACGGCTTGGAAAAGTGGAAAATCCTAGGAAGAACTGAATAGAAATGTAAACACGTCAACTAAAAATTGCCGACTGTCAAAACTGGTAAATGACATTTATTACAAAACCTATTTGAAGTTGGTACAAACGGTGTTGCCACATCGAAACTTTCAAATAAAAAACATTTTAAATGGGATTTAATAGGGACATAAAGCTACTTGAAATAATTCGCCGGTATCGGTATCGGTATCCGTAACGCAACTAGATACGTTGACAAGCGAAAAGGCTGTTAAAGCGCTCCCTGTTCCGGTAAACGTAAACGCATCTCATAATCTAGAAATTTTTGTCTCAAAACTCCGGCGTTTTTATATCTAACCTTAAAATTGTTATTTTTTTTGCGATAGAGAAGCACAAGAAACTCAAGAAAGTATAAACTAAACAAATTAAATCAACCCGGAAAAAAAGTGAGGTTATATTCATTTAAAATTTGGCACATGTGTCAGGAATGTCAAGATACGTTACCGATACGGATACCGCGAGAGGGCCGTAACGTTACGTTGTACGTACGGTATCTCGGCCTCCGTATCGCTTCTGCACATGCGCAGTACGATACCGATACGGATACCGAGCAAAAAATACGGAAGCTTTATGTCCCTTGTTACTTATGTCATTTTAAAACGGGACATTTTTACTAGAAAATGAAGAAAACTCAAAGCCTCGTATGTGAAATTGCCTTTTTCCATTGAAAAGCCCCGGAAAAGTGAAAAAATCGAGGAAAAACTGGCAAAAAATTACAAGACGTCACTTCAAAATGGCCAACTAAAAGCAACGTTGCCACATCTCATTTCGGAAAACAAAAATAACATTTTAAAAGGGTTTTTTGTTTAAAATTCAATTTAATAATTAATTAATAATGGTTATAATAATTAAAATTCCCCAAATAAATCATAGGAAACTTGTTTTTAATTTAATTTCAATGAAAATGACATTACAAGGTTTACTTATTAATTATAGTGAGTCAGACAAAGACAATGATAAAGTAGTATATGTTTGCAAAAACCACCGTTTTCTGAAAAAAATAAAAATCTTAAGAAAACCAACATTCCAAAGCCAATTTGATAAAACTAAAGTTTTTGAATATTCCTGACTCTTTGATCGGACGTTAGAAATCGCATTTTAAATACTCCCGGTTTTCAATTAGCTCTGAATTATCCGCTCACCAATAGAATTATAAACTAGGCCCCGTTATTAAAATAACTCTAGCCCTTCGGGCTCGTATTACTCCGGCCCTTCGGGCTCGCATATAACTCCGGCCCTTCGAGCTCGCATATAACTCCGGCCCTTCGGGCTCGCATATAACTCCGGCCCTTCGGGTTCGCATATTACTCCGGCCCTTCGGGCTCGCATATAACTCGGGCCCTTCGGGCTCGCATATAACTCCGGCCCTTCGGGCTCGCATATAACTCCGGCCCTTCGGGCTCGCATATAACTCCGGCCCTTAGGGCCGGTATTACTGAGTATCCCAGATTCACAGATATTTGTCGTGGAGGCGCGGGATTGATTGAAATAATGTTGTCAGATTTTTCTAAATTACATTGAAATATCGAAAATTGGAAAGTGTAATTTGTTAATTATTATTTCAATTAGAAATCAGGAAAAAAATAAAGATAGAATTTTCAATTTTTTGGGGGAGGTTTAGCCTCCCCTGCCTCCTTTCACGAGCCGCCACTGTAAATTACCTTTGAATTTCATTGGATGAATTCGAACAAAATGTTTTTTAGTTTTAAATATTCATCGGCTTCAGGTCTGGAGATCAGGCTGGCCATCCCAGTGTTCTCCATACCAAACGTTTAATATTTCTCCAATCAGAAAATACGTTTCTTTGAAAGCTTCTGAAAAATACTTCAAGATTCTTTGCTTCAAGCAATCAAGAGATTGCAAACTCTGAGGATTTATTGAGTAGTGTGTTTCTGCTATCCTAAGCTTTTTCTCTGTAAAACTCTGGTATGTTACAGCTGAAAGCTTCACAAACAAATAAAAAATTATACGATACCAATAGGAATATCAAAATTCCAAAAAAAAAAAACAAAATCGCACGTAAAGTCATATGGTAAAGTATTACTGTGTATTTTACATTCAAAATATCAGAATGTCATTATTCTTGGCTTTTACATTATAAAATTTTGATAAATTACTACTGAAAGCTTCAGGAATATATAGAAAAATACGCGACACCAAAAGGAATACCAACTTTCCATAAGGAACGTCGAAATTGCAGGTAGAAATCATATGGCAATCATCGATTTATGTGCATCATATTAGGAAATTTCACAATTCTGTTTTCCTCAGCTTCTTCTCTGTAAAACTCTGGTATGTTACAGCTGAAAGCTTCACAAACAAATAAAAAAATATGCTATACCAATAAGAATATCAAAATTCCAAAAGAAAAACAGAATCGCACGTAAAGTCATATTGTGAAGTATCACTCAGTGTATTTTACATTCAAAATATCAGAATGTCATTATTCTTGGCTTTTGCATTATGAAATTTTAATAGATTACTACTGAATCCTTCAGGAATATATAGAAAAATACATCACACCAATAGGAATACCAACTTTCCATAAGGAACGTCGAACTTGCAGGTATAGAAATCATATGGCAGTCATCGATTTATGTGCATCACATTAGGAAAATTCACAATTCTGTTATCCTCAGCTTTTTCTTTGTAAAACTTTGGTATGTTACAGCTGAAAGCTTCACAAACAAATAAAAAAATAAACGATACCAGTAGGAATATCAAAATTCCAAAAAAAAAACAGAATCGCACGTAAAGTCATATGGTAAAGTATTACTGTGTATTTTACATTCAAAATATCAGAATGTCATTATTCTTGGCTTTTGCATTATGAAATTTTGGTAGATTGCTACTGAAAGCTTCAGGAATATATAGAAAAATACACCACACCAATAGGAATACCAACTTTCCATAAGGAACGTCGAAATTGCAGATATGACAGTCATCGATTTATGTGTATCACATTAGGAAAATTCACAAATCTACTATCCTCAGCTTTTTCTCTGTAAAACTCTGGTATGTTACAGCTGAAAGTTTCACAAACAAATAAAAAAATATACGATATCAAAATAGGAATATCAAAATTCCAAAAAAAAAAAAACAGAATCGCACGTAAAGTCATATAATATGGTAAAGTATCACTCAGTGTATTTTATATTCAAAATATCAGAATGTCATTATTCTTGGCTTTTGCATTATGAAATTTTGGTAGATTAGTATTGAAAGCTTCAAGAATATATAGAAAAATACGCGACACCAATAGGAATACCAACTTTCCATAAGGAACGTCAAAATTGCTGATATGGCAGTCATCGATTTATATGCAACACATTAGAATAATTCACAGTTCTACTATCCTCAGCTTTTTCTCTGTAAAACTCTGGTATGTTACAGCTGAAAGCTTCACAAAAAAATAAAAAAATATACGGTACCAATAGAAATATCAAAATTCCAAAAAAAAAACAGAATCGCACGTATAGTCATATGGTAAAGTATCCTTTAGTGTATTATATCACATTCAAAATATCAGAATGTCATTATTCTTGGCTTTTGCATTATGAAATTTTGATAGATTACTACTGAAAGCTTCAGGAATATATAGAAAAATACACTACACCAATAGGAATACCAACTTTCCATAAGGAACGTCGTAATAGCAGTCATTGATATGTTTATTATATTAGGAAAATTCACAATTCTGCTATATTTTATTTTGTACCAATTGATCTTCAAACATTGTTAACCTCACTAGAAATTCAATTGGGACTTGCTAATTAAACATAAAAATAATTTGTTTAGGTAATAACTCATTGGAAATAGTTTTGGAATAAACTCCGATAACAATTTATCAGGAACTCTTTGTTTCAATTCCTATAAAGAAACAAAAATCTTAAAATAATTTGTTATTTACGATAATAATTATTGCTTTGTGTATAATGCGGTGAACGACAATGACCTTTGGTGAAATTTATTATTTAAACATTACATATTAATAATAAAAATATAATATAAACATAAATAAATAAATGTGTCGTATTAGTTTTAAAGTCCAACTGCATACTCACGTAGTAGGTTCATCTAGAAACATAACCAAAGGGTTATTAACCAACTCCAAAGCTATAGAAAGTCGCTTTTTTTGTCCTCCGGATAACCCCATGGTTTTCGTGTCTTTTGTATGACTCAGGCCCAAAGTCGAAAGGATTTCGTCGATCTGCAAGCAATAAATATAGTAATTTATCGGTTTGACCTTTTACTAATTGCTGTTTTTAATTAGGCATGTGCGCTTGCGAAAAATACATTTTGGGAACATTCCTCCGGTGTTAATTTTCTTGAATTTGTGTATGGTTCAAAGATTACAAGACGCAATTTGTTTATGGATTTTGTCAAATTACATATAGTAGTGTGGATTCCAGGCATCTATTGGATAATATAAAGTACACTTATTAGGCCAATATTTAGAGCGAAAAAAAGACCCGAAGCTTGCAAAAGGTGGGGTAGTCGCAATTTTGATATATGTTGTTCAGATTGAAGCGTTAAATAAAAATTTGAGTTTTCGACCTTAGGGGCTCCCTTCGCCATCTTGGATTTAGTGTGCACAAAAATGTTTTTTCTGATATAACTCGTAAACGGTTAACTTAAGGGAAAAAGTGTTCAAACAAAAAATAGAGGAAATTGAATTTTCTACAATTTTTATATACAACTTTTTTTTGTAGCTGTTATCTGTAATAAGCTATAGCTAAAAAAACTAGGGTAAAAGAAAAACATTCCAATTTTTCAAAGTTTCTCGATATTGAATTGTTGTTGTGTGTTATAAATTTTCATTAAATTATATAAATTTGTATTTATTCAAATGTATAACATGTAATTAATCTACAGGGTGTAAAAACTTACCATTGGCTATTTGAGGAACCAAAAAAAATAATATGAAAAATCCCTGAAAACAATTTCAATAATAGCGAGGTGGAACCAAAATGATGTAATAACTGTTTTCACTTACTTAACCGGGCTATTATCGGTACCTAAGTTTGTAAATGTCTGATTGAAATTTCAAACTAACCGGGTTATTATTGGTGAGTTTGTGAATGGCAGAATAAAAATACATACTAATTCAAAGTAACCGGATTATTTTCGGTAAATTTGGGAATGTTTGAATGAAACTGCAAACTAACCGGGTTATTATCGGTAAGTTTGGTATTAGATATGTCTTCCTAAAACTGCAAACTAACCAGCTTATTATCGTTAAAAGTTTATAAATGTCTTCTTAAAACTGCAAATTCACCAGGTTATCATCGGTAAGTTTGGTGATGTCTGATTAAAATTATACAGTAGCTCCAGCTAACTGGGTTATTATTGGTAAGTTTGGAAATGTCTGATTAAAATTGCAAGCTAGCCCGAACTAACCCTAACTTTAAACTAAATTTACAGAAAAAGTGTAAATTTACAGAAATAGCGGAAATGAATTTTACCGCACGCGGTTGCCGTGTCGCTACGCGTCGTTCGGTGAAGCAGCCGAGTGCGGAAAAATATTTTCCGCAAGTGTTAGGTACAATATTTTTCCTACAGGCGTTAAAATGTAGAATTTTTCTTTTTTTTTTTACAGTCGTGCGGAAAAACTTTTTCCGCACTGATATGCGTGCAGTAAAAGTTTTTTCACACCGTGTGGGAAAACTCATTGATTTTTCCGCATAGTATATTTCCTAACAAGTGCGGAAAGTGCCACTTTTCCGCACGCGATTGCAGTTTGCCGAACGACGCGTAACGGAGTTCGGCAAGCAATCAAGTGAGGAAAAGAGACTTTCCGCACAAGTTAGGAACACTATTTTTTCTACGAGATAAAAGGAATATACCTGTAATGTAAATTTTAACACCAATATTTGATAATATTTCTTCTGCAGCACCTGGTATTAAAAACAGTAATTTTTTCTTAATATAAATTAGGTACAGGGTGATCTATTATAAATGTAACCCCTTGCTAACTTTTTCATTTGACGTTTTTGACAGAAGTGTCAAATACAAAAGTTTCAAGAAATTGTCAAAAGTTTTTAACTAAGTCACTTTTAGGCATACAGGGTGCGTCAAAAAAGTGCAGCAGCGTAAAGTTATATTTTTTTAAATGGAATACCCTGTATATTGTGCGCTTATTTGTTAGTCCCCTTTAACCTGTTTTCAACGATATCGGGTTTGATATGTCTATCTTCAACAGTTATAGGGAAAAACATGAAAACCCCTTTTAAGGTTTCATATTGAAAAAAGGAAAATTATACCATTTAAGCTTTAAAGAATTTCTTTTATTATCAGTTTATTGTTCAAATTTTATTTATTAATATACAAGGTGAAATATTATAATAAATCCAGATGTCTAAGCTATTATTTTTATTTAAAAAAAAAATAATATGAGAGACCTAGGAAGGAATTTTCGTGTTTTTCCCTATAACTATCAACCTATGTATCGTTGAAATTAGGTTGAAGGGGACTAACAAATAGGCGCACAATATAAAGGGTATTCTATTTAAAAAAAAAAAAACTTCACACTGCTGCACTTTTTTGACGCACCCTGTATGCCTAAAACTGACTTAGTTAAAAACTTTTGACAATTTCTTGAAACTTTTGTATTTGACACTTCTGTCAAAAACGTCAAATGAAAAAGTTAGCAGGGGGTTACATTTATAATAGATCACCCTGTACTCTTAGAAATAAATCTTATTGATTTATTGATTGAACTAATTCTGAAATAATGTGCCTTATTCTAAAGACAATAAAATCGAGAACTTTTAACAAAGAACTTTTAACAATAATTTGTACGTTTGATGTATCTACTATGAAATTTTCGAAATTTTCAGGCATAAAGTATAGTAACTTTACAAGAAAAGTTAAGTTTAAACCAAAATAATTTAATAAATAACATTATTGTTTCAATAATTCTCAATGCTGATATTTGTGTAAGTGTGTCAGCTCAGAATTTAAAAAGTGACATCTGTGCGGAAAAGTGAAACTTTCCAAACTAAAATGCGTGCGGAAAAGTGCACTTTTCCGCACTCTCGTAGAATATTTTCCAATGTTAGCATGGCCGCTCTACGCTTTCGTAGCTCACTCAATTCAAATTTTGAATTATCCATTTTGATAGTTGAGATTATCTGGAAATTTCTCTTGAAATCACCAAATTCATAAAATACAATAAACTTTAAAAGAATAAGGCCGCCGCAGGGTTGCCAAATGTGTGGAATTCCCAAAATGTATGCGGTATCTGCACTTCTTGGGGCCCGAACTGTATATACATTTGAACTAGTTCGCCCTCCCTCCGGTAGCAAATTGTATGAACTAAACGTGTATATTTTGATATAAAAAGCGGTAATACGAAGCCCACCCGATTTATTTTGAATGATACACACTGCCCCACCTATTGACAGAGGGCCTCACAAAATTTTCCACATGCTAGCTTGCCCTTTATATATACAGGGGGCACCCAGAAGATGCCGCTAGTATCAATTTTATTTAAGATAGGTACCTGAGAAAATTTAGGAAGCCCGATTCGGGTTTCGTAAAGTAGGGGTCGGACTTCTCAGTATATGTGCGAAATACCGTTTCGGGCTTGATAAGGGCGGTTAATAAATCTATATACAGGGTGTTAATAAATAGTGGGATCAAACTTCTAGGATAAATAGTACCTTTGATAGTACTCATTAAAATAAGAAAAAAGTAAATGGAAACATGGGTCCGCGAATGCTTAGTTTTAAAGATACAGGGTGTCAAAGTTTAAAATAAAATAGGCATTTTAGCTCAAAAATTCCTTTTCCAAATTTGGCAGGTTTGTTTGTGATAACAAAAGGTATCTTTTGAGTTGTGACTGTAATATGACTTAATCCGCAAAAATATCAGAGTTATAAAAAAAATAGTGACATGCCATTTTTTTCTACTTTTACCAACGTAGTTGCCCTCTGGGGCGCCACTGAAATAATTACGGTAAGTCTAATTGAATCAAAAGATACCTTTTGTTAATATTACAAACAAATATGCCAAGTTTAAAGAAATCCAGGAAACGGATTTTAAAAAACCGAATTTTTCAAACTTTTGACACCCTGTATCTCGAAAACTAAGCATTTGCTGACCTATGTTTCTATCAACTTTTTTCTTATTATTATGAGTACTATTTACCCTAGAAGTTTGATCCCACTATTTATTAACACCCTGTTTACAGGGTGAGTTACTAAGCGCGCGGTGGTCCATATCTCCTATACTAACGGAGATCGGAGAAAAAACTGAATACAAAACTTGTTGATAAACATGAGTACTACATTCCTAAATTATTTTCCAGTATACCGGGTGGCCCAGTAACTAGTAGTGACACAAAACTATGTTTTTTTTTAAATGATTCCCCCTGTATATTATTACATTTCTGGATTCTGCGGAAAATTCTAGACATATTTTATGTATAATGTCATATACCTATCTGCAACTGTTTCGGAAATATTGACAGTTAAAAATTGACTTTTTGCAACTTTGAATTTCACCGAACATGGATTAAATTCAAGATTAATGCCAAATGATAGTTTATGAAAAACTAAGATAGGAATGCAAAATCCATTTTTTTTTGTAAAATTAACCGTTCAGGTTTTACAGTCTGTCAAAGATGCAAAAAAGTCATTTTTCAACTGTCAATATTTCCGAAACAGTTTAAGATAGGTATATGACATTGTACATGAAATATGTCTAGAATTTTCCGCAGAATCCAGAAATGTCATAATATACAGTGGGAGTCATTTAAAAAAACATAACTTTGTGTCACTAATAATAGTTATTGGCCTCCCTGTATACTGGAAAATAATTTAGTAGTACTCATGTTTATCTACAAGTTTTGTATTTAATTTTTTCTCCGATCTCCGTTAGAATAGGAGATATAGACCACCGCGCGCTAAGTAACTCACCCTGACATTATACACACATAAATGGTATTAAGTAAATTTCATCGTTTTTCAATCATAATTATCTGAAAAACAGAACAAATATAGTAAAAATGCGAATTAAAAAAACTTTCTGTCGCTGTAGCCCATTACATATAACAGCTACAAAAAAAAGTTTTACATAAAAATTGTAGAAAATTCAATTTTCTCTATTTTTTGTTTGAACACTTTTTCCATTAAAGTCGCCGTTCACGAGTTATATCAGAAAAACCATTTTTGTTCACACTAAATCCAAGATGGCGGAGGAAGCCGGCCCCCCCCTCCAAGGTCGAAAACTCAAATTCTTGTTTAACGCTTCAATCTGAACAACATAATAATATGTCAAAATTGCGACTACCCCACCTTTTGCAAGCTGAATTTCTCTAATGCCTGGACTGGTAGTGGGTTTTTTACAATGAATATTATTTCTATTGACTGATAATCTTATAGTTATTTATATACCAAGGGAATTATGAGGGTGTTAATACCCCAGGTCAAAGTTTGTGTGACACCAATTGCCCGTGGGTATTAACACCTGATAATTCCCGTGGTACATAGATAATTTTATTTCCTACTGAATTTACTGTATATTGCCCATTTTTATAAAGAAATAAACCATAAACCAAAATTTCTGTTTTATGTCAAAGTTTCACCTATTCAGGGTAAAAGCGGGAGTTATGGAAATCCTTAACTTTTTTGGGAGTTATGATATCCTTAACTCCCGCGCGGGAGTTATGAAATCCTTAACTCCCTTGGAAGTTAAGATCCTGTTTATGATTATCGTAACCAAGGTATTATATGGTTATAATCGAGGTTATAACAGTTCAGTAGGAAATAAATTTATTTTAACATTATATAGGTATAGGTAGGATTGTAGGTAGGTATTATAACTACAGTAATTGGGTACAGTGACTACATAAGTATAGGTAGTTTTTTGACATAGCTTTTATTTACCTATAAGGAATAAAAAGGCTGAAAGCTTGAAATGTGACCATGTTTCAATTTTAGGACTTCGAGAACGGGAACTTCCTAATTGTTCCAATATGCATAAGTGTATGGACTATTAAAAAAAAAAAAAAAACATGTAATAATATAATTACTTATAAGCTACGCAAAAGAGAATCCAAAGTCCACAAACGATAGATTCACCAAAACAAAGAAAATTAGGAATAAATGAATCAATAAATGAAATGAATTGCGTAACCAAATCTAATTCCTCCAAAATAAGGAAATCATCAGCTTCAACGAGAACATCGTCCTACTTTTGACAATATATCGTCTTGTTTGGTCAAGAGGGGTCACTTTGTTATGTTGATAAAATTGCCATGTGTTGGTTGGACGTAAACAAACCTTTACTCTGATGTTTTTCATGTATTTTTACGCCTTTATTAGTTTCCTATAAATATCAATAATTGTATTAAAAATACTCGATTGCTAAAATATCACTACGTGCACCGCAATAATTATCTATAGAAAAAAATGGCATCCGCATGATTTGTAACATATTATGTATGATTAATTTTTCGAGATAAAACACGAAACAAAAGGAGACTTTGCACTTTGAATTTAATACAACAAAATCTCGTTATACAATTTTTAATAATAGAAACACTTCACCTTATACAAATTATTTTACTTACAATTGCTGTTTTCTGTTTTTGGCCAGTGCTGGAAGGTAATTTCAAATCGGCAGCAATTTGCATATTTTCGCCAACAGTCAATAGCGGTTGCAACCTGTCGTCTTGCGTAATGTAACAGGAAAGTCTTCTAAACGCTTTCAGTTTTCTTGGGTTTCCGTTTATAAGGACTTTGCCTCCAACCTATACATATATTATTTATTATAGTATAGTATTCAGTAATAGAAATCAAACAAAATCAATTACCCCTTTTATGCTGTATCCACTCAGAACGTTGAGCAAAGTACTTTTTCCTGCACCCGATGGGCCCATAATGGCGATCAATTGACCTGACGGAAATCTGCCATTGACCTCGTGAAGGATTCGTTTTTTGGCTGAAAATTAACTTACGTCAGAATATAAATTTGCATTAAAAGCTAATAAATAAATTTCGACAATATAGGAATTTTTTTACGGTCTTATTGACGTCACTAATTATTGTTATAAATCGACTTGGTAGTAAAAAAGTGACTGGGTTTGATGTTTAATGAAGCTTTGGTTTGCCAAGGTGTATTTGAAACCTTTGGAATAAGAAGGACGACAACAATTAATGCAGATATTCAAGAACTTTGAATTTGTGGCGCTTTAATGGTAACTGAATAAGGTGTTATAGTTGCAACAATGAACAATTAATTGAATTAGTGGAAGAAAATATAGTTGCAAAGTTCACAGTACTATCGGCTCTTGAGCCTTGAATACCCAATTTCAAAAATTTCCGCCTACGGCGCTATTAGGAAAGGCCGGAAAGGGCATAGGCGCCGAAATTTCAAAATTACTATGGAGGCTTGGGCTCCAAAGATTAACATAAGTAGAATCAATTAGACAGAGAGGACTGGGCTACTAGACACATAGACTTAAATAGGACCAGTTGACAGATACCCATTTCACTGCAGGATCGCCACGCTGGCTCATTGATCGTCCTTCATATTATTGAAATTCGTGCATCTTTGGCAGCTCGGCTATATACTTGGCTTCGACAGCACCATTGGCGTAGTCAAGATTTGGATTTGGGGGGGGGAGCGCAAATTTGCAGGATGTGATCCTTACAGCAGTAGCAACTTCGCCGCAAACGCTGCAGGAAGAAAAGCGCTGCAGCCTCGAAAAAACTTTTATTTATGGGATGTTCCATCTTTCGGTGTTAAAGTTGCTCGATATGTTGGGATATAGAATATCATCCATAACTCTTTGGAATGTAGCCGGCGCCTTCTTCAAACCAAAGGGCATGCGCAAGAACTCATAATGCCTGTTTTCTGTGCTGAATACGGTTTTTTCGATGTCGTTTTCATGCCTCTAGATCTGGTGGAAGACGCTAACTAAATCTAAGGCGATGGAATTCTGGCAGCGTCCCAACTTCTTCAAGAGATATGTTGGGTAATGAATATCTGTCAAACTGTTTGTCAAAGTGGTTATACCAAAAACAACAAAAATATACAGGGTGTCCCACGAGGTTTTTCCCAAATGATAATTTCGGAATGCATCATCGTATGTTCCACTGTATAATTTTCTGTCATATCCTTTAACAAAGCCTTAACAAATATGGCATAGCCGATTTTGTAATTTAATTTTCTTACGAAAAATGCCATAATATACCATGAGTAACATTTAAAATTCGAAAGTTGACGTCACTTGGCCGAAATTGGAGCAAAAATGGTGGAATTGGATGACAGTGGTAGAAGCGGCACAAAAAGTTACCCAGATCCTCAAAATTTCAATTATATTGAATGACGCGTTCCGAAGTTATCACCTGGGAAAAACATCGTGGGACACCCTGTATAACACACAAATTTGATATAAAAATAAATAGTTAGGAATATTAGGATCAGGAACTCAATATTTTTGTACCTACTCACGACATACTATGCCAAAATCAGTACGGGGGCTCAAGCCCCCATTGCCCCCATGGTTCCGGCGCCTATGGGAAAGGGCAAATTAAATATCTCCCACTGGGTAGGCCGATATAAGAACTCCCACTCGGGCCGAAAAAATGTCCCATTCCGGCCTTATCCGACATAGAAACTTCATTTAAACATAATTTTATCTGCATTTTTGAATTTGAGTTATTTCCACTGATCTCAAAAATAAATGGATAAACAAAGAACGCTTTTAATGCTGCTAATTTACGAGATCAAAATCTCAACAAAAACAACTGACTGGGACAGCTGTGAGCGTGCGCAGTAGATACATGTATTGTGTGTGCACAAAATCTGGCCAATGAAAATGAAGGAATTTCAAAATTTAGAACAGTTGTTCGAAAGGTAAGACACTGCGCAGGCGTTAGGCTGTTCCGTTGCACAACTGTTCGTAGAATATTGACCCCAAATTTTCGCACAAATTTTGCCAATCAAGCCGTATGAATTGCTTATCCATTTATTTTTTAGATCAGTGGTTATTTCTCATTAATATTTCTACGGGCGTGCGCAAAACTCCAACTTTTCGAATGCATTTTAGGTCATATGAAAGCCGGTAGGTATTACTTTTCAGCACTACAGTACCGCATTTTTATATTAATTATAACTTTCCTTTCCAAACTCGTACAGAAAGTATCTTTTCCTACAGCCGTGCGGAAAAATCAATTTTTCGCACTGATATCCGTGCGGAAAATGAGTTTTCCCGCACGATGCGGTAAAAATTTTACCGCACGCATTCATTTTCCGCACTTGTTAGGTAAATAGCTATTTCCCTACCAACTTCAATCGCGTGCGGAAAATTGGCACTAAAACATAATTCAAATAAAGATCCATATCCGTTTTGGGTTTCATGTTTTTCCTCATTGATGGTAGTCGTATCGGTTCTGCTGTCAGAGGTATGATTGGCATTTTCCAAATTTTTAGTGCAAAATAAGTGATCTTTGAATAATAGCTGCTTACGAACAGACCACTTTCTGCAGGCCCGACAAGATGGGAGGATAGACGGGACAAATTCTCGGGGCCCGTAAGACTTGGGGGGCCCGGATTATACGTTTAAATTTTGCTTTACAAGTGTCACATTCAAAAGGATGAATATCCGAGTGTGTTAACATGTGATTCTTCAAAACGCCTTTTCGCTTAAATTTCGCTTTACAAGTGTCACATTCAAAAAGATAAATAACCAAATGTGTCGAAATATGATTCTTTAAATTGGTTTTTCGTTTAAATTTGGCTTTGCAAGTGTCACATTCGAAAAATATTCGAATGTGTAATTGAATGATATTTCAAGCTTGTTTAGGTCTTAAATACAGTTTTGCGAATAAAACATTGGAACTTCCTAATAACAAACAAATTTCCGAGGCCCGTAAGACCTGAGGGGCCCGGATTTTAATAGGGGGGGGGGGGGGGGGAATAAAAAAAAAGAAAGAGGGAGACCCGTTATTATTTTTTTTACCGGGGCCCGACTCAGCTCTCGGCAGCCCTGACTTTCTGACCTAACTTGAAGAAAAAATCTGAACAGTGCGAAAAAAATGTATCTTTATCTTTATATTTTCCATGTTATTAGAAAAAGATGGGAATATACTCGATGTACACTGATCGATAAATGGAAATCGAAAACTTTAACATATATAGGTCAGAAAATGGTCAGTTTATAAGCAGCTATTATTTCATAGAAAATAACTCCACGTTTCAAAAACAATCAAAGTAGGCTTTTTGAGCGGCCATTTCAAAGTTGTGCAATCCAATCCATATGGCGGTCAGGATGGTCAAACAATTTCATTTACCTTCAGCTTCAGACTACCGTGACGTTTTGTTATGTTAACACTGGTCTATTGCTTGAAGAAGATAATTTTTGTAGCTTCGTAGTGTATAAACACAAAAGACAAACACATCACAGATGTTTGACCGTTGCCGCCATATTAAATTTATGTTTTGACAAGTCGTTGGATTGCCCTATTTTATACGAAAAATAACGTTTTTTTGTGGTGCAAGGAATTGAATGTTTGGTAATTTTTAAAGAAAATCTGATTTTTCATCAAGAGAAATGAAAATTTTCCGTTAGTTAACATCACGTTTCGAAAACATCAAAGTAGGATTTGGACGGCCATCTTAAAATGAAACCATCCAACCAAGGATAATACACACTACTACTACAGGATAGCCTATCCTCCGATTGTACAATCTAGTGGCTTTCCAGCTTGTTCAAGTTTTCTGTGGTGTCTTGCTAAAATGAGAAAAAAAGACTGCTATAAGGGAAAAGTGTAGGAAATTCTCCTTTTGCAGATCTTCTTTTCCAAGCAGTATGTAGGTACCCAAAATCTGCATTTTCCGCTATCCTCCATAGAAGAACTCCGATGTTCTTCATCTAAGTACTTCTAAACAACCATAACTGAAATGCAAAATTTTTCACACAAGACCTTCTGCGATATTGTTTGAAGTGTGGCGAGTGTAACGAGCCGGAACCGGAAATCGGAAAGTAACCGGAAACGAGTATGACATGTGTGATCACCCCGCTCCGATTCTTGAGGAAAAATCGAACCGGAGTTGGATCGAAGGAATGTATGACAAGTGTGCACCGGCCTTGACCTGTGTGGAAAAAATCTGAATCCCCCCACCACGCGAAATCACCAGTTGTGACGTAGGCAGCATGTTTTTTTTTTCGCCTTGACGTATAGGCAGTTTACACGACAGGTTATGATTCTGCGGGCTTTTGCTTTATGCATACTTGGTTTTACTACATTAATTAACATTCTTAAACAACTCTTTTTTTAGATCTCGTTTTCATCTTTCTCTCTACTTATTATTGTAATCAAAATTAAATGATCTTTTTCATCATAAATTTACTAAACTAGGATTGCTGCCGCAAACAGCTGACGACTTAGATAATGACGTCAGCAATGGTGACACATCAATATTAGCAAAAACGAGGCCGATAAGTCAAAGTTGTCTGAGAGAATTAAGTTGCCTGATGACATCATCTGGGGTGCCTGAAAATTTCCATAGGGCACCCCTGATGCGTCATCAAATTACCTATTACCAGCCAGGCTACTTATTAACTTTAGGAACTTTGCGATAAGAAATCCTTTAGTAGTGTGTATTATCCTTGCAATCCAGCGACCTCTCAAAACATGAGTTCAATATGGCGGCAACGGTCAAACATCTGTGATGTGTGTTTGTTTTTTTGTTTATACACTACGAAAATGCGTAAATTATCCTTTTCGAGCAATAAAATCCACAAATTCTTATCTATTCATAATCTGATGTTCAAAGGTAAAGGTAAAATTTATCACCTGTCAGTGCTATTTGATAGGGAAAGGTGATAAATTTACCTTTACCTTTGGACTACGGATTGTGGATAGGATATACACACAGAAAACAGTTTTATGATAACACGATTGTCTGAATAGGTAAACGATATTTTTGGCGCC